CCCCATTGGATAAATATGGAGTCTGTTACCTAGCAAACACAGAGCCATGCTCAGGATGGATTTTATCAGCGCGCAAAATGAGTTAGCAATTTGTTTTGGCCTTAACTTCCTCCTCCGACCTTGGATTGGCCCAAATGATATATGGCTGGAAAGAAGACATTCTGAACTTCAAGTTTGAGTGCTTAAAGTCTTAATTTGCTTAAGGGAAGCCCAATTCGTAAGCCCTTGAAGTTGCTGGTCATGCTGACCTCCGGATGAGCTATTGTTTCTGGTTGGAAGCTTGATCATGGTGGAAGTTTGGAGTTTCAAGTTTGTTTCATGATTCATGTTCTTATTCATTATGCTTATAAGTTAACATGTTTGTTTGAATGATTGATCACCATTAGAACTTGTTTGTTAACTATCTTGGTTTGAATTAAGAGTATACACTATGCTTTAATTCGAATTGAACTATGAATAGGAGGAGTATGTATGGACATTCGACAACAGGGATTAGATACATGCTTGGTTGTTTAAATTGTTCTTCTATGCTTAATGGGTTCCTACTGCTTAATTTTAGGTTAGACAACAAATGATCAAATTGGGGAATTAGGAACACAAGGTTATGACCAATCACCATGGCTTAATCATACTTTAGCTAGAATCAATCTTTGAATCTGAATTAGACTTGTTACTTGAATCTTTATAACCCAGAATTGAATTGTTATGGTGATTCGAATGCCCTAGTCTCAAAATCTGTTTTCCAACTCTTAAGACCACTCTTTGTTACATTTGTTTACTTGTTTTTGTTTCAAATTTTATTTTGCTTCTTTTGTTCAACAATCACAACCACTCTTGTTTTAAATTCTGTTTTAGACATAACCTCCTACTTTCTTGAATTTGGTAATCTAAGTACATAACTAGTTTTAACTTCTCAGTCTTCGTGAGTACGACCTCGTACTTGTCTTGCTTTACTACTAATTGCCCCGTACAATTGCGAGTTAACATAATATTAACAACAGTTAGCTATCTTGGTTTGAATTAAGAGTATACACCATGCTTTAATTCGAATTGAACTATGAATAGGAAGAGTATGTATGGACATTCGACAACAGGGATTAGATACATGCTTGGTTGTTTAAATTGTTCGTCTATGCTTAATGGGTTTTTAATGCTTAATTTTAGGTTAGACAACAAATGATCAAATTAGGGAATTAGGAACACAAGGTTATGACCACACACCATGGCTTAATCATACTTTAGCTAGAATCAATCTTTGAATCTGAATTAGACTTGTTACTTGAATCTTTATAACCCAGAATTGAATTGTTATGGTGAATCGAATGCCCTAGTCTCCAAACCTGTGTTTTAACCTTCAAAACCACCCTTTGTTACTTTTGTTTACTTGCTTTCCGTTGCAATTTCAGTTTGTTCATATCTTTCTATAATCACAAGCATTCTCACTTCAAAGTTCATTTTAATCTTGCTGCATTTGTTTTCAAACTCACTCTTGCTTTAAATTCTGTTTTAGATTTAACTTCCTAACTTCTTGAATTTGGTAATCTAAAGTACATAACTAATTTGAACTTCTCAGTCTTCGTGGGTACGACCTCGTACTTGTCTTGCTATACTACTAATTGCCCCGTACAATTGCGAGTTAACATAATATTAACAACAGCTGCCACAGTGGAGAACTTCTTATTTCCAGCCATTTCCTTTCCTCCTTTTCTTACTTCTTCCATGGCCAGATCTGATAAGGGGAAGAAAATGGGTATGCATGCTAGTTCAAAGGGTGATTCCTCTCCTGGCAGTCAGCGCGCCAACATCCCTTGGTCCTTTGGATGTTTTTGCTTGAAACTTGTTTCTTCCCATGGGCTGGAGCCTCCTAGCCGCTCTGTGCACGTGGTCCTCTAAGCTCCCTTCGCAGCTTTGTCCTTCAGCCAAGTGCTGGGGCTTTTGCCACTTCTTATTCTAATTGTATGGGCCTCTCAAGACAACAACATGATTTATTAAATAAATGGGCTATCCTTATCAAGTGTTGGGCCATCTTGATTGAGGCAATGGGCTATTCTTGGTTGGGGGTATTGTGGGCTATTCTTGGTTGGGCTATTGTGGTTGAAGTAATGGGCTTTTTTCTCCCTTGTGCTTACCCACGTTTGGGCCTAAGAAATGGGCTTGAGTGCCGAGGCTCCCAAGCAACCCGGGACTTCCATTTCTTGGCCCACCAATGGGCCTCATGACAACTTATCACCATCCATACCACAACCCACTCAAGCAAGCCCCGGGCATTTGAGTGGCTTGGGCCCACTTGGGCTTGTAGCGTGGTTGGGCGTGAAATAATAATTTCCCACTTGGCATGGCATGCTTTAATTTTATCGTCCTTGAAGAGGGACACGATGCTTATTTAGCGTGGACTTGTAAAGCCGGTGTATTTTATTACATTATCTTAGCATGATAAATTATTTACTTGGCATGGCACATGGACTGTGGCTTGCGTGTGACGGGCTCTCGTGTGTTCCAACCTGTGCCTTTTCCTAATAAAGCGCTGCATTGGGCAGAGAATTTATTTGGGCCCAACTATGGATTTTTTGGGCCTCAACAGTTGCCAACAAGGAAATATTAAACTTTAAAGTCCAAAACCAACACCCCGTTTTTTAGAAAATTTGCTTGATCCTAATAAAAAGTGTATTATTCAGAGAAATATCAGGGTTTACAATTCTATGTTTGCATTTACTTCAATGGGAACCAAAATTGATAAATCAATTAACAATGGATCAAGCCCTTATATTTTCAAAATCAGTGGTCAAGTTCATCATACAAAGGCTTGATCCATTGTTAATTGATTTATTAGTTTTGGCTCCCCCAACCTGTGCCTTTTCCTAATAAAGCGCTGCATTGGGCAGAGAATTTATTTGGGCCCAACTATGGATTTTTTGGGCCTCAACAGTTGCCAACAAGGAAATATTAAACTTTAAAGTCCAAAACCAACACCCCGTTTTTTAGAAAATTTGCTTGATCCTAATAAAAAGTGTATTATTCAAAGAAATATCAGGGTTTACAATTCTATATTTGCATTTACTTCAATGGGAACCAAAATTGATAAATCAATTAACAATGGATCAAGCCCTTATATTTTCAAAATCAGTGGTCAAGTTCATCATACAAAGGCTTGATCCATTGTTAATTGATTTATTAGTTTTGGCTCCCATTGAAATGGTATTGTACAAGCCATGAATCTAAACGAAGAAGAATTCCTATGAGAGCTTTTATAGCTTATCATACAAGAAAGAATTTTTCAATTAGATACATTATTAAAAGGTGGAAGATTGTTCCAACAATTTTTAGTAGACGCTTATGCAACACTTGAAGAGGATCGAATAGATTATATTAGGAAAAAAAAATAAAATTTATGAAGTGAGGTTTATAAAGGCATTTATGATGCAATTTCAAAGGGTGACAATGATGCTAATAACATAGGTCAAAGAGTAATATTGCCTAGCTCATATACTGGAAGTGCTAGATACATGCTTAACAATTATCAAGATGCTATGGCAATTTGTAGACAATATGGAAATCCTGATTTATTTATAACTTTCACCTACAATGTCAAATGGCCAGAAATTGTAAGAGAGTTTAATACAAAACCTGGATACAAACCAAAAGATCGGCCTGATAATTATTTAAAATAAAACTTGATCCGAGAGCAGTGGCTGTCAGACGGAGTCGGAAAATCAATCATCGGAAAAGGTACATTTTCGATGAGCCGTCAGAAAAGTTTTTATTTTCGACCAGCGATGTGTGTCGTAAATATTATGACGTTGTCGGAAACTAATTTGGCAAACAATGATAATTTAGTATTTCCGATATACCAACATTGTCGGAAATAATTTGAACTTAATCGGAACTGTTTTTTATACGACGAGCTTTTGTTGTTGCCGACCAAACTTTTCTGACAACAAATCTTGTCTGAAATACTATTTCTGAGGACTAAATTTATTTCCGACAATGTTTGTTCATCTGAAATAGACATTTTCGATAGCAAAATTGCATCGAAAAATAATTACTCTTTGTTGGAAATAATGCATAGGATCTATTTATGAGGAACACAGGTCGTCAGAAATGTTATTTACGACGGTGTAGACCGGTTGGAAATAATGAAACGTGTCATCGAAAATAGACAATTACGATGGGAATGTGGTGTCGTAAATGAAATCACTATTCTCGAAAATGACTCGTAAGTTATATTTCTGATCAACATAGATTGTCATAAAAGTTTTTTTTACGATGAACAAGGATGTCAAAAATGTAATCAGACATGTCGTAAATAGAATAATTATTCTCATAAATATTACATTTTTATAATAAAATATATAAATAATATTTTCAATCAGAAACTTTTTTCATAAATATGTTTTTGTCATTCATTAATATAAAAAAAAAAACAATATTCATTTCATATCAACTCGTATATGTCTCCAACTTCTTAAATTTGAATATAATTTCTAAGTCTGACATTACTAAATAAAATGTATTTGGGAGATGATAAAAGAACTAGTTGGGCTGCTCCACGACATTGTCACTAAGATAAGCATCAGAACAACTTGCAACATTGTCCTGGTATAATAACAACAAGAAACAAAGAATTATGATAAGACTTGATAGAATTTGAAAATGGGAGTAACAAATACAATTAAGAAGTAATATACATACCAAAAGCTATACCGCATTAGGTGATTGCCTTGCACAGTGAGCAGAATTTTGTGGGTTATTGTTAATCAGCATTTGAACTTGTTGTTGCAAAGTGCTCAATTGACCTTTGACATCATTCAATTCCTCTTTCAAATGCCCATGATTTTCTTCCAATTCCACGCACCTACGCTTATTACAGTTTTGGTTAGTTGAGGCGTAGTATACATCTTTAGCTTTGACGCCACCGCCTAAACCAAGAAGACGACCATGACTAGGGGCAATCACCTCCTTATATATATCCCAATCATTGACATCAAGGTTTTCCTGTTCAACAACAGCCTTTTTGTTTTCTATTGTTTCCTATAGTGAAATTATAAACACATGTTTCATAAATAAACCCTAAACCCTAAAACTAATAAGTGATGATTAATTAAGCTACACTTGTCGAAGTCTAAGAAATAACTAGAATAACTATTGGTAATAGCAATAAGTAGTGTAAATGTTTACCTTCCCTTATATATTTCAATCAACATACCCTTTCCTTTTCCTCCCTTGGCCTTCCCTCTGCCTTTTTTTTTCCCAGCACTTAATCCTATTTTAAGAACAACAATTAATAACATAATATTATTTATAGTTTTCAAATAATATAAGCTATACCTTGGGTATATGAAGGTTGAGTCTCAAAGCATGTCTCTTGAGTTTCTTGTACTCCCTTATCATGAGCTGGTTCAATAGAGGCATGTTGGACTGCAGAGGATCTAAGTATGGAAAACCATTAGTTCTCTTACTTTCGTTACTTTGTGTTTCCTCAGTTGGAAAACCATTTATAACTTTCTTATTAAATTGTTAAATTATATTATTCCTGTTTATACACACTACAACAAAAAAGCGCTTTTGCGAGGAAATCTTTCCTCGCCACAGGTTCCAATTTCCTCGCTACATCTCTACAGCGAGGAAAATGTGTTCCTCGCTCAGTCGACGGTGAAACCCCGTCGTAGAAGCCTGTAGAGAGGAATGGTCACGTTTCCTCGCTGAATCCTTTCTGCGACAACTTAACTATTTCCTCGCCAAACCTCTATAGCGAGGAACTCTATCATCGCTAAAGGTCATTTAATTTCTCGCGATAAGTGATGAACGAGGAACATATTTTCCTGTACATCCTACAACGAGGAAACTATTTCGTCCCTAAAGATAAAATATCATCGGTAATAGTTGTATTTTATTGCGACGAATACCACAAGTTCCTCGCTATATCTCTACAGCGAGGAAAACGTGTTCCTCGCCCGGTCGACGGTGAAGCCCCGTCATAGAAGCCTGTAGAGAGGAATGTTCACGTTTCCTCACTGAATCCTTTCTGTGACAACTTAACTATTTCCTCGCCAAACCTCTATAGCGAGGAACTCTATCATCGTTGAAGGTCATTTAATTTCTCGTAATAAGTGATAAACGAGGAAAATATTTTCCTGTACATTCTACAACGAGGAAACTATTTCGTCTCTAAAGATAAAATATCGTCGGTAATAGTTATAATTTATTGCGACGAATACCACAAGTTCCTCGCTACATCTCTACAGCGAGGACATAGGTTTCCTCGTGGGATGGACGCTAAACCCCGGCGTAGAAGCCTGTAGAGAGGAATGTTCATGTTTCTCGTTGAATCCTTTCTGCGACAACGTAACTATTTCCTCGCCAAACCTCTATAGAGAGGCACTCTATCATCGCTAAAGGTCATTTTATTTCTCGCGATAAGTGATGAACGAGGAACATATTCTCCTGTACATCCTACAACGAGGAAACTATTTCGTCCCTAAAGACAACAATATCGTCGATAATAGTTTTATTTTATTGCGACGAATACCACAAGTTCCTCGCTATATCTTTACAGCGAGGAAAACGTGTTCCTCGCCCGGTCGACGGTGAAGCCCCGTCATAGAAGCCTGTAGAGAGGAGTGTTCACGTTTCCTCACTGAATCCTTTCTGCAACAACTTAACTATTTCCTCACCAAACCTCTATAGCGAGGAACTCTATCATCGTTGAAAGTCATTTAATTTCCCGCAATAAGTGATGAATGAGGAAAATATTTTCCTGTACATCCTACAACGAGGAAACTATTTCGTCTCTAAAGATAAAATATCGTTGGTAATAGTGATAATTTATTGCGACGAATACCACAAGTTCCTCGCTACATCTCTACAGCGAGGACATAGGTTTCCTCGTGGGATGGACGCTAAAGCCCCGGCGTAGAAGCCTGTAAAGAGGAATGTTCATGTTTCTCGCTGAATCCTTTCTGCGACAACGTAACTATTTCCTCGCCAAACCTCTATAGCGAGGCACTCTATCATCGCTAAAGGTCATTTTATTTCTCGCAATAAGTGATGAACGAGGAACATATTTTCCTATAAGGAAATAGGTTTCCTCGTGAAGCCCCGTTGCAGAAGCTTATAGAGAGGAATGTTCACGTTTCAATAAAATGCGTTATAACAATGTCATAACATAACATGAATTCAAAAGATTTGGCATCATAATTGAAAACAGCATTATAGTCTCCATAATTCAAAACAACATTAGCCTGTCATACTTCAAAACATTAGTCATCATAATTCAAAACAACATCATGATAAAGATGACTGACTGATATATCAAGTGGAGCCTGAGCTCATTTTCTCCATGAACTCCTCAAAAATTTTTTGCTTCTCCTCCATTACTTTGATAAGTTCACGTTGACGATTAAGGTCTTCTTGTTGGCTCTGAATAATTTGTTCGAGCTCTTTGTTATGCTTAGAGACATGTGCTTTTGATAATGATCCTGAAGGTCGAGGTCCAAATCCACATCCCTTAATATATCCTGATTTTACACCAAGAACTTTGGCAACAATTTCATCATCAGTTATTGTTTTAGTATCACGTGTTGAAGTTTCAACTCGTATAGCAATCATCTCCTCCTACAAATAGAATGAACATTATAAATAAAGCCAATTGAAACAATACCTGGAACTTGGTAGTAGAAAAATATTTACAAAGGAAATTCCATTGCTCTTGTGTAGATACTCCAGGAGGTTTGTTTTTTTGTGCCTCTTCCATAGTTGAGTACTTATTGAAATACTTTTTCAGCTTGTGTCGAAAATCACAATACCTTTTCTGAAACTTCGTCATAACGAATCTATGAACATGAGGCAGAGACATATCAATGTCGTACTTACTCTGCATGAACCAATTTCAATTTATAAATGTTATTTTCTGTTTGTATTATATAAGTATCAAATTTAGTAAATGAAAACCAATTATATCTTACTGTGGGAGACATACTACAAGGAAATTAATTCCTCGTTACAAGGCTTCTATTGCGAGGATTATATAATATTTGTCGCTATAGGTTTGGAGGGAATTGTGAAAAATTCCTGCTACCCTTTCTGCGAGGACAAAACTATTTCCTCGTAAATAAATAGTGAAAATAATGTGGGAGACATACTACGAGGAAATTAATTCCTCGTTACAAGGCTTCTATTGCGAGGATTATATAATATTTGTCGCTATAGGTTTGGAGGGAATTGTGAAAAATTCCTGCTACCCTTTCTGCGAGGACAAAACTATTTCCTCGTAAATAAATAGTGAAAATAATGTGGGAGACATACTACGAGGAAATTAATTCCTCGTTACAAGGCTTCTATTGCGAGGATTATATAATATTTGTCGCTATAGGTTTGGAGGGAATTCTGAAAAATTCCAGCTACACTTTCCGCGAGGAAAAACATATTTTGTCGCTATGAAAATCTACAGCGACCACATTGTTCGTCGCTGCACCCAACATGTCGTCGCTATAGCTTGGTCCAATTTGGAAACGAAATTTAGATCACATTTTGCGAGCATTTAACATTTTCCTCGCTGAAAGGCTGCTTCTACGAGAAAATATAATTCCTCGCTGAAAAAATCGTCGCTAAAGCAACATTTTGTTGTAGTGACATAATTAGATGTTTATGACCATTGTCCTAACTTGATTTTCCCCATTCATCAACATTAACACTTACTATTTTCCCACTTTTTTATAACAGGGTCAAGACCTCCATCAAAGAGAAGAAAAGTCATGAAGAAATTGCAAAACAAAACCCGCCCAATTAAACAGCATGCTGCTCAAAACTATCCAAATTTTGCTATTTTGATAGCTGCTTCCCACTATTAACATCTCAATGTATATACAGACATGTCTACTATTTTAACATAACAAGTAGCCTGTAAAATAGGTTAGTACTTCCTTTTTTGCAACTTATACTTCCATAGTTAAGCATAATGCTACAAGTTAAAAATCATTGTATATATAAACAATCTAATTTTGTCTACGTAATTTCAAAACCCACAGTATCACGCGGGCTTTTTTGCTAGTAACAATGAAAACTGACACAGCAAATGGAATAGAATTTTATTTTATTTAAACTCAGAAAGATATTGGTGAACCAAAAATTAATTTGAGCAAATAAAATAAAGGTTGAAAGTAAATACCTGATTTTCCGAAACCACCCATTCCAAAAATCTTGTGCGCCCTGATGCAAATGTCTTCTATGAACGGTAGTTGGAGGTTCTTAGTTGCAGATATAACAGCAAATCCCTTAGAAATGGTAAACATGATCACTCCAAATATGATGATCCTCCCAACCCAAGAATCTTTTCTGACCCACTGAAATTGATAAAACAAATATGAAATCAATATTTTTATCTTCCTTTTGGTCATAAATGTTACTGTCAAACTAAAAATTAAAGAAAAACTTACCTGACTTTTCTTTCTCTGTTTAGACTTTGGCCGCTTGATGTATGTATGAAGTGAAGAATTAGAGAGTTTTTCCTTTCTAATTTTATAGCCAAAAAGATCACCAAAGAATTTGAGAGTTCTAAGTCGATGAAGAAAACTGATGGGTGTAAAATATGTGGCTTTATGTTTATATAGCAGAGGTTGTGTGAATTTTTTTGTTTTCCTATTTCTTTTCTTTTTGAACATTTAGAAACTCAATAATGATAAGGTAGTCACGTGTTCTCTGCAAACTACCTCTCTCACGTTCATATTCCAATGGATGGATAGACACAAGACTTTTTTTACGTCGTTATCTGTCAACTGTCAGTTATTTTTTAGACTTGCTGAAACGCAATGGTAGGTAGCAATTCAAATGCTACACCCAAAGACATCCACCAGTCTTCAGGCTTGGCTTTTAACCAAAAAGTTGAAGACACCAGTCAATTGGCTATCACTTTTTCAATCCTGCTCTGTTGGTAAGATTTGGAAAAAGATATTGTTCCAAGCACGAGAAAGTTTCTTGATAACGTGGAAAAAAGCTTGTATGTATCACAAAAGATTTGGAAAAAGATATTGTTCCAAGCACGAGAAAGTTTCTTGATAACGTGGAAAAAAGCTTGTATGTATCACAAATTAATCACGTTTTATCTTGCGAGGATTTTATTCTATATGGTGGAACACGATTAAATGAAAGTAACAAGATAGTCTTATTCCCGTCACATGCAATTTCTTCTTTAATTTCTTAGGCTTCTTCATTGTAGCATGAAAAGTCCCAACTACAAGACAAAATAGTGTTTGTCTTTAGATAAGCACTCAAGGCCATCCTCACCTTTAGAGTTGAAGAGGAACTTTCCAGAGCTTTAAATTTAAAGGTATTTTTTTTCGGTAAAAGGAGTATTATATTAAGAAGAATAACCAACAGTCAAGGGCTACAAACAACAAAGACCAACCAGAGAGGCCAATCACAAAACAGTAAACAAAACAACGACAAAAAAACTGAAGGAAGAAAGCTTAGAAAGCGTCAAGTTCGGTGGGCAAGGTAAACCATCCCGTGAAAGTATGAAGACCAGGGTGATTGGAGGTCGAATGACCCAAGCCTCAGCGCACAACCCCCTTCTTGCCTGCGAAGCCACCCAGTCAGCTGCATGGTTCGCATCTTGAGGAGTCCATGTCCATCAGAGAGAGGAGAATGAAGCTTTTAGCATTCTAATGTCATAGAGGGAAAAGAGTCCAAAGGTGGAGTGTTGAAATGGTTTCTATCATCTTTCAATCTCATATGTGATAGGAATTCCACAACACTTCTATCGGCCAATGAGGCCTTGAGCTATGGCGATGGTGGGCAGAAATTTGATTTGTCATACACCAAATTACAATGAGTTTTCCAAATAGCCGAGCTAGTAAAGGCAAAATGAGTTATAATTCATCATTTCTCTCCTCCGAATTAAAGGTCTCACACAACCAAAGATCATTTATCCACCTATCCAACGAAGTGAAAGCTTTAGGCAGAGGTCTGCATGCTCAGATTCTTCCATGGAAAAAAGGCAAATAGGAGACTGGCAGAGCTTGCTCCTGAAAAGGACCCCAAAAGTGGGAAGGAAACCATTGACCGCTCACCACAGAATTTTTTTGATTTTAGGGAGCGTTTGGCAATTATGAATGCGAAGCTAGACTTTAGAATCAATCACATGGGAAGAGCTCGCCTTCATCACAACCTGATACTTTTTATACTCCATGAGGTAGTAATATCCTGATTTGATCGAGTATCTCCCATTCATAGTGTATGGCCAAATAAACCATTTAAATTACAGACATTTGATTATTTCATATATAAAAAAAAACTATATTTTTTTTATAAAAAAAGTTGAAGACTTGAAAAAGAAGTATACAAAAACTATATTTTGTATGGCCAACATTAACACTCACTACAAAACAAAAGCCCTTTTGCAAGGGCATTTTGTCGTTGCAAAAAGCCTTTTGCTGTCGAAAATACCATTTTTCAACGGCAAAAGTCAGTCGGAAGTCGTCGCTAAAAGGCCGGTTGCAAATACTTCATTTCCGACCATTCCGTTGGAAATAATGTATTTCCGACGCCCATGCTTCGTAGCTATTGCTTAAATTTATATCGGAAATGGATTTTTAAAACGACCCTACATATTTATTTCCGACCATACATGTGGTCGTAATTACTTATTTGATTGTCGGAAATAGTTATTTTATCGTGATTTCTTGTTTTTGCAAATTCATATGTTCGACCAATGAGTGTCGTTAGAAATACTTTTTCCGACAATGATACATTATTTGTGAGGTCTAGATTTCGTCATAATTATCATTACCGACCAAAAGAGTTTGTGGAAAATATATAATAGCTCGTCGGAAAAGAGTATAACAAAATATTTCCGATGGTAAAGTTATGTCAGAAATATATATTTCCAACCACATTTATTCGTCACAAAGTTTGTCGCAAATAGATTAATCCTATCGGAAAATATTTTCAATGAACAAGTGGTCGGAAATATAATTGTTTCGACCCGATTATGTCGTGGGGAATGTTGTCGGAAATAGGCAATTATTGTCAGAAAGTATTTCCGATGATAAAGTGTTTGTTGGAAATATGCATTACCGAGAGGGAAATGCGATCGAAAAATATAATTATTTTATTAAAAAAATTAATAAAAAGAAATTTGAATTATAATATTTGCCAAAAATTGTTTTCTAATCATCCGTATTTAATTGGTAATAAAAAAAAATCATACAACAGCATACTGTACTAAAATTTTAAGCGTTCAATTAAAATTATTCTCAATAATTAAAACATAAACAATCCCCATCATCCTTGAAACATATAAACAATCCGCAAATATATTAAAACATTGAAATTCAAAATACATATTGTAGCAAAATACAATTGATGTTGCACTACTCGTCTTCGAGGTGAGCATCTGAACAACTTTCTACATTGTCCTGTCAAATAAAAAATAATAATTAATAAGACATAAATCGTTTGAGAATAAAAATAACAAATACAATATTTAACAGTGAGCAAAATATTGAAATGAGAAGAAAAGAATTCACCATTGAAGCGGACTGTCTTGAGCGTGCATAAGTATTTGAGTTGTTTTCCCTCATACTTTGAACTAGATCTTTCAATTCATACAGCACACTTTTCAAGTTCTTCACTTCCTCTTTTAATTTCTCATGCTCTTCTTCACGTTCTAAGCATATACGTTTATTACAACTTTGGTCATCCGAGGGATACACATCTTTTGTACTATAGCCACCACCCAAGCCAAGGATACGACCGTGACTTGGCCTACCAATAACCTCCTTGTATATATCCCAATCATCTACTTCATTCTCGTCTTCCGTTGCAGCAACCTTTTTATTCTCCATTTTATCCTTAAATGAAATAGTAGAAATATAAACATGGATATAAAAAAATGTCATGTGAATAAATTTTTTTAAAAAATAAGATAAACAAAGTACGGGCAACGTACAAAAAGTTCTTTAGCCGTTTCACTTGGCCAACTTTCTTCCCCTCAATTCTTAGGCTTACTTACATGAAACTTTTTGAAACAATTGGACTCGGTTCAATTCCAGTTTGATCAAGCTAGTAAGATTTAAACAATGAAGTTTGTTAGGACCAAATTTGGAAATAACCACAAAAGGAACAGTCAACAAAAAGCAACAACCAAATGGATATTTTTATATCAACTTTTCTGTACTTTTCCACTGGAACAAAACCTGTTGTATGCACAATTGTGGATTTCGCCCTATTAGACTTGTTTCTTTTACTTTTATCCTGCATGAAAAAAGTAAATCATAACCTAATATCAACTTAGTGAACCCATATAAGGCATCTATAAATAAACCAAAGCATACACTAGCCAGTCATAACAATATTATTTTAAATTGAGTTTTTACCTGCCATGTAGCCTGCAACCAATGATCAACCAGTTTAGACCAAACATCTTGAGATATCCCTAATGGGCAATGAGTGTATCTATCACCAGTAGTCTTGTATTTCTTAAAAACGCTATTTCTCAATGACGACATCCAATCGGAATATCGCAATTTAATATGTTCTTCGAATGCCTCCCTCATCTCTTCTTATGAGCATGTGTGTGTATATCCTGTTGCGTTAAAACGATCATACAGTAAATCCATTTGAGTTGATGGAAATGTTTTAAATGTTGGCCATGCTCCATCGATAGCTTGATAAAAAAACACTCCTATAGTTCGCACAAAAATGGCTAACTTTGCATGCCTTATACATTACCTTCCTCTACGTATTACAATTAGAGTGCCATTTCCATCTTTACCCTTAGCCTTCCCTCTACCTTTTTTTAATTCCAACAGTTGAACCTAATAAAAAAAATACAAATATTTGAAGTACTAGGGAACTTCTACTACAACCAATTTTTTAGTGCGAATCAATGAGATATCAATGAAGAAAAATGAAGAAAAGTCAAAGAGAAGAAAAGTCATGAAGAAATTGCAAAACAAAACCCACACAATTAAATAGCATGCTGCTCAAAACTATCCAAATTTTGCTATTTTGATAGCTGCTTCCCACTATTAACATCTCAATGTATATACAAATATGTCTACTATTTTAACATAACAAGTAGCCTGTTAAATATGTTATTACTTTTTATTTTCTTTAAACTCTGAAAGATATTGGTGAATCAAAAATTAATTCAAAACATTCACAGAATAAGAAAAAAAATACACTAATCATTTGAGCAAATAAAATAAAGGTTGAAAGTAAATACCTGATTTTCCGAAACCACCCATTCCAAAAATCTTGTGCGCCCTGATGCAAATATATCTTCTATGAACGGTAGTTGGAGGTTCTTAGTTGCAGATATAACAGCAAATCCCTTTGAAATGGTAAACATGATCACTCCAAATATGATGATCCTCCCAACCCAAGAATCTTTTCTGACCCACTGAAATTGATAAAACAAATATGAAATCAATATTTTTATCTTCCTTTTGGTCATAAATGTTACTGTCAAACTAAAAATTAAAGAAAAACTTACCTGACTTTCTTTCTCTGTTTAGACTTTGGCCGCTTGATGTATGTATGAAGTGAAGAATTAGAGAGTTTTTCCTTTCTAATTTTATAGCCAAAAAGATCACCAAAGAATTTGAGAGTTCTAAGTCGATGAAGAAAACTGATGGGTGTAAAATATGTGGCTTTATGTTTATATAGCAGAGGTTGTGTGAATTTTTTTGTTTTCCTATTTCTTTTCTTTTTGAACATTTAGAAACTCAATAATGATAAGGTAGTCACGTGTTCTCTGCAAACTACCTCTCTCACGTTCATATTCCAATGGATGGATAGACACAAGACTTTTTTTACGTCGTTATCTGTCAACTGTCAGTTATTTTTTAGACTTGCTGAAACGCAATGGTAGGTAGCAATTCAAATGCTACAGCTAAAAAGACATGCACCAGTCTCTAGGCATGCACGCAATAAAAAGACATGCTACAGCTTTCAATCCTGCTCTGTTGGTAAGATCTGAAAAAGATAATGTTCCAAGCACGGGAAAGTTTCTTGATAAGGTGGAAAAGAGTACAAACTTCCAAATTCCAATTCATTTCAATCCTAATATTTGTAAAAAACTTGTATGTATCACAAATTAATCATGTTTCGTCGTTTTTACGTCGTTATCTGTCAACTGTCAGTTATTTTTTAGACTTGCTGAAACGCAATGGTAGGTAGCAATTCAAATGCTACAGCTAAAAAGACATGCACCAGTCTCTAGGCATGCACGCAATAAAAAGACATGCTACAGCTTTCAATCCTGCTCTGTTGGTAAGATCTGTTTCGCCACGTATAAGGATTCTATTCTACATAGTGTAACATGATTGAATAAAAGTAACAAGATATTATTATCCTCGTCACATGCAACTTCTTCTTTAATTTCTTAGGCCTCTTCATTATAACATGAAAAGCAACAACTACAAGACAAGAGAATTGTACGCATAAATAAATTACAAGATAAGGGCAGACGCAGTAAACAAAAACAACTTTCTCACATTGCATGTCCTTTTTTATCAACATAAAATATTTCATTCATTATGTCACTGAATTCACAGTGCATCGGGTCATAAATTAATATGATGAAGAAGGATATATCATTTCGTCAGTTCACATCAATGTTCATAATTTCAAATACATGTGTTCGTCTTCAGGTGAGCACTCAAGGCCATCCTTGCCTTTAGAGTTCAAGAGGAATTTTCCGGAGCTTTAAATTGAAAGATTTTTTTTTATAGGTAAAAGGAGTATTATATTAAGAAGAATAACACAACAGTCAAGGGCTACAAACAACAAAGACCAACCAGAGAGGCCAGTCACAAAACAGTAAACAAAGCAACGACAAAAAACTGAAAGAAGAAAGCTTAGAAAGCGTCAAGTTCGGTGGGCAAGGTAAACCATCCCGTGAAAGTATGAAGACCAGGGTGATTGGAGGTCGAATGACCCAAGCCTCAGCGCACAACCCCCTTCTTGCTTGCGAAGCCACCCAGTCAGCTGCATGGTTCGCATCTTGAGGAGTCCATGTCCACCAGAGAGAGGAGAATGAAGCTTTTAGCATTCTAATGTCATAGAGGGTAAAGAGTCCAATTTTAGACAGAAATATCCCCCTGGACAGCAGCAAAACAAACCTTGAAATCAGTTTCCACAATAACATTAGTGAAACCTCTTACATGGACCAGCTCTAATCCACTTCGGATCGCATGACACTGAGCCTGCACAACTGGTGATGACTAAAAACAATGCGCACTGCCGTCAAGCAGATTACCAGTATGATCCCTTTATCACTACCCCTGCAGAGCCTGCATTCGTAACTTTGTCCCAAGCATCGACACAGTTAATTTTTGACAGTCCCCACCAGAGGATTGACCCACAGATGACTGTCTAAAGGTGGAGTGTTGAAATGGTTTCTATCATCTTTCAATCTCATATGTGATAGGAATTCCACAACACTTCTATCAGCCAATGAGGCCTTGAGCTCTGGCGATGGTGGGCAGAAATTTGATTTGTCATACACCAAATTACAACGAGTTTTCCAAATAGCCGAGCTAGTAAAGGCAAAATGAGTTATAATCCATCATTTCTCTCCTCCGAATTAAAGGTCTCACACAACCAAAGATCATTAATCCACCTATCCAACGAAGTAAAAGCTTTAGGCAGAGGTCTGTAAGCAATACAAGTGGAAAACCCCACTCTGGCAGCCCAAGGGCAAAGGAAGATTGTATGCTCAATGGATTCAGATTCTTCCATGGAAAAAAGGCAAATAGGAGACTGGTAGAGCTTGCTCCTGAAAAGGACCTGAAATCGTGCCTCAGGTAGAGTAAATAGTTAATCGAAATATGATTGGACAATGATTTCAATCCCAAATCTAACTAATAAAATCTTGCAGCAGAAGTAAATTAACACAAGGATTTTTGTACCCAATGGTACGAGGAAAAAACCCAACCGGGAAAAACCTCTAGATATCCACTGAGAATGGACTATTACAAGACTCAAGAAGATAAACCCTAAACAAGAATCTATCCAATACTTTTGTCTTGCCTTACTCAGTCCTTACTTGAACTCTCTTGAATCGATGATCCTCACAAACAAGCATGCCCGCACACAGCTTCAATTGCACACAGCTTCCAATATGGAATATGAAATATGAAGATGCAAACTAGAATTAAAAAGCTTCACAAAGTTGCTTTATCATTCTAATTTTTCATGAACTCACCTTTGCTTCTCTCAATATAATAAATCTTTCAAATCAGTTTTTCCAAAAGTAAGTAACAAAGGTCTTCAAGCTTTTTTTTGTATCAAGAGAAATCACATTCCAAAAAGAGTAGGAAAAGGTAGAATTGGTTTTAACGTGAAAAAGAGGAAAACAATTTTGCTGATTGATTTTATTATGAATTTCATTCCTAATAAAACTAAATAACAAAAATATAGTTTTCCTAATACGATATGCAAATGCAACGTACCTTGTAGACATAGTCAACCCTTGATCTGCTCAATCTGGATAAGTCTTGTAACCCAAGCTAATTTGCCTAAAAACTAGGCCTAAATCTACACAACGAGGACACAATTACAAGTTTAGGAAATTAAGCCAATTCCTAAGTGAATTTACATTTACAGGACCTCATAGAAAAATTTTGATTTTAGGGAGTGTTTGGCAATGCGAAGCCAGACTTCATCACAACCTGATACTTTTTATAATCCATGAGGTAGTAATCCTAATTTGATCGAGTATCTCCCATTCATAGTGTATGGCCAAATAAGTCTATCAGGGATATCAAAATTGCTGATAGGAATTGCCATCATTGCTTGGACATCCAACGGCGAAATAAACGCCTTGATTTTAGAGAAGTCCCAAGTATGATTGTCTATCCATCAGATCAGCAACAACAATTGGAGCATGTTGAGGCACATGACAAGTGTACCTAGGGTCATTTTGTGGTAGCCAAGTATCAGACCACATATTAATGCAATTGCCATGCATAACTTGCCATCTTGCTCCTCTAATAAAAGCTCGCGCCCCACCAAAGGCTATTCCAAGTGTGTTAAGATTAGGGATGGCAAAAATCTCCGTCGGGGCGGGTCTCCGTCGGGTCCCCAACCCTAACGGGGGGAGATTTCGGGGCCAAACGGGTATCGGGTATGGGGATCCCCGAACTTGAAAAATCCCCTACGGGTATGGGGAGGGGATGGTATTGGCGTCCCCATCCCCGAACCCGACCCGAAAATATATATGTTTATATTTAAATAAATAAATATATAATTATAATATTTATGTTTAACCCTAAGTTAACCTACCTCTCCTCATTCTTCCTAATCTTCTTTGGATTTTCATATTGATGTGATTTTGAATAGTTGAGTTGAACTTTATAGTTAATTTGAATGTGTTGAATGATAATTTAATATGAAACTTAATGTTAAAATGTATGATAAATATTTTTTATGCAAAAAAAATCGGGAATTCGGGGCGGGTATGGGGGATAGTCCCCCGACGGGGATGGGGACGGGGATTCCCCGAAACCTATTAAACGGGGATTGGTTCGGGGATGGGGGCGGGGATGGTATTGTCATACCCGGCCCCTACCCGGCCCGTTGCCATCCCTAGTTAAGATCCTTTGTTCATGTTTTTGTCTGTCCCTCCCTCTTTATAACACCCGATCCTTTTTAATTATTTTATTTACTTATTTAATTGTGAAATTACATATTTGTCTTCAGGGTAGGGGCACTTTAGTCACTTTTTTCAGAAAGGAATTTAGGGACACTACTAGATTTTTGTATTTGCGCGACGAAGGAATTTTGGTCGCGCAAAGTACATTTGTGTCGCACAAATAGTAATGCGACAGTATATTCGTCGCGCAAAATTTGTCGCGCAAAGATCGTAAAGATACACTTTGCGCGACGAAAATATTAAAATTGTCGCGCAAAATGAGCGATGGTAAACCTTCGTTGCACGTTATTTTGCGGGACGATGAGATATTTCGTCAGTCAAAGTTTTGCGCGACGAATATACATTCGTTGCATTAACATAGCGCGAGGAATCATAAGCGTCGCACTAAAAGTACAGGGACGAGAGCATATTCATGTCGAAAAGATTTGCGCGACGAAATATAGTCGTTGTAAGGACACTGCGCGACGAGTAACATTCGTGGCGCAGGTATTTTGCGACGAGTAGATTCGTGTTTAAAATATTTGCGCGACGACATATTTTTGTCGCATTGACTTAGAGAGACAAATTATTTCGTCGCGCAAAAAAATTAAATTCTTTAAAATTTAATTTTTCGGTTGTGTATTTTTTTTTTAAATTTTGCGCGACGGAATCTATCGTCGCGTAAAAAATAAATATATTATTTTTAATTTAAAATTAAATTGAATTATTTTGGTAAAAAAAATAAATTTGGTTTTTTTTTTTATAAAAAAAAATAATGAAATGAAATTGCAATTAGAAAAAGGTAATAAAGAGAAATATGTAAAATGTGATAACATAATGTATTTAGTACAATAGAAATATTTAAAATATAATTAAGAATGTTAAAATCTAATCAAACAACCCTCGAAGATCTACATTGTCGTCTGGCAAATGCAGCTCGGAGGTCTGGACATTGTTGACAGGGGGAGAGGTGTGGTTGCCATGTTCGGAGGTCGACGGGGGAGTAAAAGGCGGGATTGAAATGCCGGAGTGAGCGAGGGACTGTAGAATATGAGACAAATGACTCTTGAGGTCCGCCACCTCTGTCTTCAAAGCAGTCACCTCTTCATTTGACTCTGATGATTCACGGGGTCTAGGTGGCCGCTGCCTGGCATTCCCCATCCCTCGACAATATGTCCCTGAGCGCCTCCCGAGACTCTGATCCAAGGTTTCAGTCAGGATTTGAAACCCTGCATCCGATGGAGGAACCACGGACTCGAGCGGCGTATCGGGAGGAAGCTGGGAGGCGGACTCCTGAAGAACCAACTGGCTCCTCTCAATCATAGTCGTCTGTTGAACATAACATAAAATATGAATTAAAACATTCATATAATATATAAAACCTTGAACACTTACATAATAATTTAAATTAAAGGCTACTTACATGAAGGGACTCCGCCAACTCATTCCCAGGTCGAACATAAACGTCGCCAAATACGTCAATCTCTGGGAATTTGGACCCCCCCTTAAATTGAGCAGAAAAAAAAAATGTTAGTACGAAAAAAACAAATTAATATTAATGACATATTAAAAAATAAATAAAAACGACTTTATTATTACCTGGCGCCGCGCCTCCATCCTATAAGAGAAGGGCCTGGAACCTGAATGGTGGAGAAGAGTCTTCCTCTGCCTATTGCCCTTATTTGCTTTGGCCTTCTTCTGTTATACAAAAAATAAAAAGTATTAGTTGAAAGTAAATTTATAAAAAATTAAATACACATTAGTAAGAAACATGTAATAAGTTTCAATTTAATATATAAAAATACCACATAATCGGCCTCTTGAAAATGACCGCAGAGCCACTGCCAACTATCCTCCCGGCCCTCAAGCTCCTTCGGGCAACCCTCTTGAAGAGCAACCTGCGTATCATCATATGCCTGAAAATGGTGATGCAGGTCGCTCTTCCACTGCTTGTACCTGTCAGCAAAGAGTCTGTTGATGTAGGCTAACAACTCTTCGCCGACGTTCTCCAAATTGTAGTTTGTCTAAAATAAATTCATTACATACATTAAATATTAGAAATAAAATTTGAAGGGAAAAACAATGAAAATGTATAAAATACATACCGACAGGTGTCCTAACATCTCCATCCGCACCTGATCAGGCATGACCCTCCAGGACTTCCATTTGATCGGGCAATAAGTCCGAACGACGGATCCAATGTCATGGGCCAACGAGCTGTGCTGGTCAGCCGTTGGTGCAGCCCGATGTCGCGCGTCGTATGCGATGTTGATACGACTGTTGTTCACCCGGGTGACTTTGGCCGTCATCAACTGGCGACAGGGTCCTCGGGTGTTCTTCTTGGCTGCAAAGAAATATAAAATTAACATTAAATAACAAATCCTACTAACATTCTTGGTCTGAAACAACTAGAGTTGAAGGAAAATCTTTACCTGGTTGTGACCCCGACGCACTAGCAGCAGATGGCGACGTGGTGTCGGTCGTGCTGGGAGGCCGGTGACGCCGCCTGGCACTAACTGGTTGCGCCACTGATGACTCTGATGACACCGGGGCCCGGGAGACGTGGGGAGAAACTGGCATGTCCTGCTACTGTGCTACACCAGTGGGAGCTGACACCGCAGTCGGGGGAGCTGAACTAGGTGAAGTCATCACCGTCTTACGACGTCTGATAAGTTGTGACATCTGATAAGGTCTTACAATTAAAAAAACATCCTTGGGTAAAATTATTATTTTGTAAAAAAAAAAACCTCAAAGCCTAAAGAACAACAAATACAATATTTAAAAAACAAACAGAAACATGTATTCTTTATATGGCAAAAAACAGAAGCACATTTTTTAAAGCAAACAAAATAGAAACATGTATGATATTACAAAAATCAGAAGCACATAATAAAGAAAAATCAAATGGTTAGTAGCACATAGTTTAAAGCCCCCGAAAATTAATCAAAATACAAAAAACAGCAGCAAATGCTCCAATCAAATCTGAAATCTAACAACAATACACCTACAAATTCACAAATCGTACACCACAATGCAATTTCAATACAAAAAAAAATCTGAAATAAAAAAAATACAAATCCAATAAAAAAAACAAAATTGAAACAGCAATTTAAACACTCACATCCTAACCAACCATCAGACTCACATGCCGCAATACAAATCCAATACAAATCCTAACCAACCATCAGACTAAGCAGCAATTTAAACAATTACAAAATAAATATACAAATTGAAACAGCAAAACAATTCCAAACTTAATCCGAAAATTTCTGAAATAAAACTTAAAAATTGAAAAAATATATATCGGGGAGCGTTGGGAAATTTACCAACTGGGTTTCGAGGGAGACCGGAGAGCACGGCAGTTCGGCGGTGGCGAGCGAGACAAAGAGTGGGGGGCCGCTGTCTAACAGGGATGAGCGGAGACGGAGGAGGCGACAGACTGACAGGGGACGGAGGAGAGAGGGACTGAGAGGGATGCGAGGGGACGGAGAAGAGAGGGACTGAGAGGGATAAGTGGGGACGGAGGAGACTGAGAGGGATGAGTGGGGACGGAGGAGAGAGAGCGGGCCGGAGGAGCCACGAAATGCGAGGGATGAGAGGGGTCCGGGGAGAGAGGGACTGAGAGGGATAAGTGGGGACGGAGGAGACTGAGAGGGATGAGTGGGGACGGAGGAGAGAGAGCGGGCCGGAGGAGCCACGAAATGCGAGGGATGAGAGGGGTCCGGGGAGAGAGGGACTGAGAGGGATAAGTGGGGACGGAGGAGACTGAGAGGGATGAGTGGGGACGGAGGAGAGAGAGCGGGCCGGAGGAGCCACGAAATGCGAGGGATGAGAGGGGTCCGGGGAGAGAGGGACTGAGAGGGATAAGTGGGGACGGAGGAGACTGAGAGGGATGAGTGGGGACGGAGGAGAGAGAGCGGGCCGGAGGAGCCACGAAATGCGAGGGATGAGAGGGGTCCGGGGAGAGAGG